GTGTGTTGGTTGTGGCGTGGGTGTGTGTGTGTGTGTGTGTGTACGTGCTCATGTATGTGTGTGTGTGTGTGCACATGCTCATGCGTGTGTGTGTGTGTGTGTGTGTGTGTGTGTGTGTGTGTGTGTGTGTGTAATGTAATACCCAGAGTTGGATCCTAGGACCTCCTGCAGGCTGGTCAAATACTTCACCACTGAGCTGTGTCTCCAGCCTCTTTTTAGTGTTTCTGTTTACTTTGTTTTGAGACAGGGTCTCACTAAGTTGCACAGGCTGTCCTTGAACTTGGAATACTCCTACCTCAGCCTTATAGATAACTAGAATGACAGGCCTGCAGCATCTGGCCTACCTTGGTCTTTTTTCCTTTTAGCAAGACTCATCTATATGATGCACACCTTGCCTCACTCCCCACACGCACCCCAATACACACAGAGGCACACATGAAGCCTGGGGCCCACGGCTTGTTCCTATCATGGTCTCATCCCATGTATGTATGGCATGTATGAAGAAGAGCTTGATAAGTATGTGCTGAGTGAATATATAACTTAGATGGTAAAAATTAGATTCTGGTTTGCACTAACTTTAATGGTTCCACGTGTGAGTTTATTTGACAACTTCTGGAGTTACTGATGCGACATTCTCAAATTGTGTTTACCAAACTGCATGCATCTTTCAACCAAAGACTGCATCAGTTTGTCCTGTAGCAAACTTTAGAGTTACCAGCTACCCCAAGCACTTCACTCCAATTTGGGACAAACAAAAACAATGGACATGTGAAGACTGACTTTTTTAAAAAGACGTGTTCTCCAGAAATGCATTTGCTTGTGAAGCCCCTGGGTATGTTTGCAGATCTTCCATGTGTTTGCTGAAACCCAGCACCCACTTCATTTAGAAACAATGGGTGAATGTCATCTCTATAGTCACGCGTGCGCTGACATGATATTTCTGTCTGTGTAACCAGAGGGTCCCTCAAACCAGAAGCAGTGCATGTTCGAGACATCGACGTGGACATGGAAGTCGGAGAAATCCAGAAGGTTAAGTTCCTGTGGAACAACAGAGTGATAAACCTCTTCAGGCCGGAGATGGGAGCGTCCCAGATCACAGTGCAAAGTGGCAAAGACGGGAAAGAGTGCGTATCTGAGATCCTTCTGTCTGGTTGTGTTGATGCGCCTGTCTTTGCTTCCTTCCACCCACTCGCTCGCCTCCCCACCCAGCTAAGCTCTTTCTTCCTTCTCACTTCCTCTTTCATCACCAAGTCACGTTTCCCACCTTTCACCCCATCCACTCATTACCCAGCTTTTCACTCCACTTTGCCACCTACCCATCTGATTTACTGGGAAAACTTGCGATCATTTCCCTTAGACAAGGATCAACGTGATGAAGGGCAAAACATTGGTTGGTTGTAAGATATGAGAAACAAGCAAGTGGGGGATTCTTTGCTTTCTGATGACAAAGTTATCTAGGAAAAATGGTGGTGGGATTAGTTTCAGCTAGTATGCAGTGTTTAGTGTGAACTGGGGTTTTGAGATTTTGGCGTGAGAGGGTTATAGACGTATGTTTGGCTCACAGCGACAATTCTCAGGGAAGAGAATCTCCTTTAGTAGGAGTTGTGATAGAACCAGCTGCTGGAGGTTCCGTTCTGTTTCTGTGATAAAAACACTCTAACCAAAAGCAACTGGGTGGTGAGGGGAGAGGAGTATTTTAGCTTATATCTCCAGGTCACAGTCCATCACTGAAGGGAGTACAGCACCCCAGCACAGACTGAACTCTAGCCTGGACTTGAAGGCAGGCCCCCTTGCCAGCCCAAACAGCATTCTGTGGCCAAGGAACTCACTCCATAACCAGATGGAGAATCTTGCTTGCCAGGTGGCTCAAAGGCCAGCTTACACTCAGCCAGTTTTCTTCAACAGCTCAGGACTGCCTGCCTAGGGGTGGTGCTTCCCACAGGGGGTGGGACCTCCTAAATCAATTAAAAGTCAAGACAGTGCTCCACAGTGGAGATAGTGCTCCACAGTTGCCTGCAGGCCAATCTGGTCTGAATGATTCCTCTATTGAGGTTCTCTAAGACAACTCAAGAGCGTGTCAAGTTGACATTTAAAAATAACCAGGAGACCAAATAACTTCAAAACATAGAAAGAATCTGGTCTGAATGATTCCTCTATTGAGGTTCTCTAAGACAACTCAAGAGTATGTCAAGTTGACATTTAAGAATAACCAGGAGACCAAATAACTTCAAAACATAGAAAGGAAAACCTCAACAGATACCTCAACATACCTCAACAGATAGTCATCAGAAAAATAATGAGATTTATCAGAAGGAAATGTAGACCTCAAAGGGAAAACCTGCTCTGGGCCAGTGATGGGGCCACTGCTGGCTTCCGTGAGATGGAAGAAGCAACAGGGGAAGCCTGAGTTAGAAGCTTCAGTTTGATGCAGCTGACACACTTCTGGCATTTGGAAAACCCTCAAGGAGAAGAAGGGTTGATTCCTAGTTAGAATCAGTTGGGTCGCCACCTAGAGTCTTTCAGTCTGAGGAAACAGACCCGGGAGCTAGATCACTATTGTCTAACAGTCTCTTCAAAGCCATAGACCCACTGACAAACCAGCCTGCTGCTTTCCCCACAGGTACAACTTCTGTAGCAACAACACTGTGCATGAAGATGTCTTACAGTCTCTTTACCCTTGTTAAAGGTGTGCTTGGGCTCCTGCCTCTTTCCATAATAAATGTTTTTAGTGCACTTGTTCTGAGCTTGAGGTGTAGCACGGCATTCTCTGTGTACCGGGAAATGATGAATGGGTTAAAGGCAAGGTCACCACAACTAAGACAACATGGGATTACACACACACACACATTCACACACACACATTCACACACACACATTCACACACACACATTCACACACACACATTCACACACACACATTCACACACACACATTCACACACACACATTCACACACACACATTCACACACACACATTCACACACACACATTCACACACACACACACACACACACACATTCACACACTCCTCTGTCACATCTCTTGCATTTAGGACATTTTGTGTATCTTGTGCTCCTAGAACACCAAAAACTTTTGTGTTTGGGGTTAAAATCAATCTGTGGCATCAAAGAGAAAGCTTCCAAACAGCAAGTTAATACCTGCACTTGGCACAGATTTCAAGTGATACAGAACGCTCCTACGTCTTCAGGTGTCCCTGATTTTCTTCCAAGGGACAACTTGAGTTTATTTCCAATAATCGTCTATATGTGTATATGCTCGTGTCCACCTCAAACCCTACCCTTTTGTCCAGGCACAAATGGAAGAACACTGTATGTGCTGCTATCAGCTGTGTTTTTAATCCTCCATAAATTGGGTATTATTATCTCATGGTACAGAAAGGGGCTCTTATTCATCAAGAAGCTTTGTGAACTCCAAGGGCAGGCATGCAGGTGTGAATGGTGGGTCCTCTTGCTGAAAAGGACAGGCTCTTTCCATCACAAGTACTCACACAATTTATTTATTTTTGCAATATTTTCTGCTGGGTGACCTTGATGGGCCATAGTGGGGAGTCACTGTTTAGTTCTTAGAATCTAGAAATGGCCTCACTTAGTAACTTTCAAGAATGGTGTCCTGGCGGCAGAGACCAATGCTTGAAGTGAGGAGCTCACTGTGGGACTGACGTGCTTCCGCTCAGTGTCTTGGGGTTCTCGGCCCATTCTCCTCTCCCTCGTTTTTTGTTAGTATTTTCCAACTCCTTTTCCCTGAAACCCTATGTATCATCATTTAAAAGTCTTAGTTTGTACAATGAAATGGGCTGTTGTCTGAGCCCTACTGTGTGTTCTAGATAAAGCCACAGAACACAGAGCTTCTGCTCTTGGTCTTGATTTCGTATTACAATCACTGTGGAGCTTTTCATACCCTGGCTGTGCCCTAGCCAAGTCGCCACCTCTGTGGTGGACACCTGTACTTTTTAAGCTCCTAGGAAATGTACAGCCAAGGTGAAAGACACTGAGTACAGTTCCTTCTGGGTTTCTAACAACACCTCCCTCCCCTTGCATTATTTCTTTAGGTTACATGTGCATCTGTGTGGTTGTTGTTGTTGTTGTTGTGTGTGTGTGTGTGTGTGTGTACTCTTGTGTGTGAGTGTGTGTGTGTGTATGTGTGTGCATCTGTGTGGTTGTAGTGTGTGTGTGTGTGTGTATGTACTCTTGTGTGTGTGTGTGAGTGTGTGTGTGTATGTGTGTACATCTGTGTGGTTGTAGTGTGTGTGTGTGTGTACTCTTGTGTGTGTGTGAGTGTGTGAGTGTGTGTGTGTATGTGTGTGCATCTGTGTGGTTGTAGTGTGTGTGTGTGTGTGTGT